AGCAATCATTTTTGGGGCCGCTCACCACGCCCACATGACGCATGGTTTGGTGAAAGTCAAAACAAGTTTGCCCCAAATTTGAAGTTTCTTGCGATCTGAAAATACTGTGTTTGTGCCTCCATTGCAGAGTGTCAGTGCTTTTTCAGGATTACCAGCGGTAGGTTCGCAGTTATCGGATGGTGGGTTCGGAATGAAATTGGACAATAAACCACCGATAATGCAAGGAAGGTTTGAGTTATACGCCGTGCAGTTGAAGACATTCCTACGGAGGTAGAACGTCTGGAGCGTGGTTGAAAGTGAAGAAATTGCACGGACGACTAGCACTCATGATCAATTTGCTATGATCGACAATATTGCTCGTGGTGCAATTTTGCATGGTATACGCACTACAGAAGCCGAGCTTATCTACCATGAGCGAAGTGCTGACGCAATGTGAACTCAGTTTGTGAATAAACAGACGAAGCGCGAGTACACAATGTATTTTCGCAAGACACCATAAGAAGATAATCTCAGATGAAGAATTTGCAGAGATTCTACTGGATAACGTCTCACATACACGTGGTGAGCAGTTCTCCAAACACTATGAAGTGTTAGCTGCTCCTGCTTCTCAACGGTCTGCGACTTCGCCAGATCAAGTGATGAACGCACTTCGGGCGGAGTCCGAACTTGATGCCAAGTTTGACGACTCACAGCGAGGTCAAATTGTTTCGTCTTCGCAGTCTGGCAAGCAACAAGGAAAAGGAAAAAAAGTGTGACCGAGGGAAATGAATAGGAAGAGTAACCCCAAGTCAAATCAAAAGCAAAGTCGTGGAGGGAGTAGTGGAAAGAAAGGTGGAAAATGGAGATGAGGACACTCGTGAGTGTTGGTATTGTCGTGGGACTGACCATATCCAGACCCATTGTCTGAATCGTGGTGTGCAGCTACCTGAACGCTAACGATGGCAAAAACGAGTGGTGGAGGTAGTGGCAGTAAAGACAAAGATAACCCAGGACAAGTTGGTATGTTTTCTTGCCAAGAATCAGACTCGATGACGATGTAGAATTCATTGAGTAACGTTGTGGAATGGACCCTGGATTCCACAGGTGATTGCCATGTGTGTACAAACAAAGAATAGCTTTTGCGTTCTCGTAAGAAAGATGGTCCACTGGTCTTCGACTGGGAGAATAAACCTGCGAAGAAAAAAGTATTGCTGGGAAATGGGATTCTTTATGTGGATAATGAAGCCAGTAAAAAGCAAAATCAACTCTTTGTCATCCGAATGTAGTGGACACGCCAACCGGAATGAAAAAAACTTGTTGAGCTTGGATAAGCTGGAACAAGACTGGTAGGAGTTCACCAAGTTGAAAGTACAGAATAGTTGTGTGGCTGCAGAAGGGTAATATCTTGTTAAAGCTTGTGAAATCTCGCGGTCGATACTGTTTGCAGACTTAAGTTGTACCCATACAGAACGTGACATCATTGGTTGAAGCACCTAGGGAAGATGAGAATGAATTTGCTCGGTGGCACACGCGTCTCGGACACCTTAACTATGGCGCTCTACAGCAGTTGTTAAGACAAGAAACAATTGGTCGTTTCGCAGTGTCTAACAGTGTTGGTGCACCTAGTGAGCGATGTTGGACTTGTGTACGGGCGCAAATGAAGCGCATGTCGTTCAAAAAGGTGACTACCACCAGAGCGAAAAAGCCTGATCAGAAGCTCATGTCGGACATGTGTTATGTTGGAAAGACTACCTGCAATGGTTATTGACATTTCAAACTTGTGCAAGATGAAGCCACATGTTATGTATGGGGTTTTCTGTTGAAGAAAAGGGAGGGATCCTGTGATACAATAATGAATAAAGCGGCTTGATTTCTTTGCGCAAGGACATCGTGTTGAAGTGTTTGGATCAGATCAAGGACGTGAACTTGTAAACAAGAGATTAGAGAAGTTTCTTGATGAGCATGGAGTTTGTCTGATTACCATTGACGTCTACAGCCCAGAAGAAAATGGTCTGGTGGGGCGAATGCACGGTATCGTACTGGGACGTGTCCGGAGCTTGTTGACAACTGTTGATCAGCCAAACCTTCTGTAGAGTGAGGCGTTCACTTTTGCAGTTGAAGGGGTGAATGTGAGACCTAGCAGTGCATTGGCGGGGGCGATTCCGTACAGTCCGTGCTTTGTAAAGCGGCCAGACTTGTCCACGCTGCGCACGTGGGGATGCTTAGCATTCTACTTCATTGAAAAGGTCTTAAGGAAAAGAAGTTGGAGAATCCAGGTAAACCCTGTCTGTTTCTGGGTTATACAAACAGATCAATTAGCTTCCAAGTACTGGATCTGATGACGGGTGCCATTAAGGAGTTGAGAACGGTAGATCTCGCTGAAAATTGAACAGTAGAGCGTGGATATGTGGAGATGCTACTACTCAATCAATATGCGAAAGGAAAGTATAAGTTCCCGTCTCGAATTCCATACGTTCGTTTGGATTGATTGCGATCACCCAGTACAGAAGAAGAAGAAGAAGAAAGTAGTCTATTTAACCTTATGCGTTATTAGCTACTTGAAATAAACGTAGTCGTTTGGGCAGCTCCAGTTCCTTCTGTGAGCGCCACGGTGCTCGTGGTGGGGGTTATCTTGAGGAGGTACCTCTACCACCATTTCAGGCCAACATTCCAGGCTTATCTGCGATTGCAATCCTCGAATGCGCCTTTGAGGTAATTGCCGCTCGCTACGAGCGACTGCCGCATGCAGCTAGACCACATAAATTCCTGCTGTTGCTGCTTAACCCAATGCTCGCCCGCGTGGACGCCATGATTCCTAATTTGCCAGAGAAGTGCTACACCAATGCTGCATATTGTCCACCATATTCGTTGAGGTTGGTTCTCAAACTCCAAAGTCCACCGACCAAATCGGTTCTTCAACCGTGTCTTAAACTGCGTTGACAACGGCGGGGCTGTCCGAGCTGAAATGTAGTCCTTGTATTTGGAGAGTTGGGCCAGAGAAATCTCATACCCCAGCCACTGTTCTAAGACTCTGCGCCACAAGCCTTGTGCTCTAGTACATACCCAAAAGATATGAATAATTTTGTTTCCGTTTACCCTGCAGTCCTCGTCCAATGGACATTGGTCGTCATACTGGTAGCCATCGTAGTTGCAAAGAGCCACTCGGTAGTTGACATGCACCTGGTAATCCGTGATGGTGTCCTCATGATTCCATAATTCTTGTGGAGTTTGGCTTTGGAGGCCACATATCCAGGAGTCTTGGTTTCGGATCTTGGACCATTTATTTAGTATGGGCGTAGCTACCTTGGTCACGTTTCCGAGGCACCATTTCTTGATTTGCTTCTTTAGATGCAGCAGAATATGTCGATTGAGCCTGGGCTTCTCCACTGCCCAAGGCACTCCATGTAGTAACGGATTTGCCTCGAAGACGAGGCCTCGGAGAGGTGGAGTGTGGTTACTGTCATGTGCATCGCCTGCGTCCTCGCGTACTTCATCCCAAAAGATCCCTTCGAATCGTTGCCTTAGTTGGATATGAAGACTCCCATCGGATGAGAAACCCTCCATGGTGGCAGCCGCCGTCTTCTCCCAACTGGTGGACTTGAGGCAGTCCGGGGAAGCCGTAACTGAATTGGTGGAGCCTGACCTCCGCGTTCTCCGATTGCCACCCTAGGGGAACACAAAAGAATCGCTAGTATCCATCGTTCGAGTTTCGCAGTAGTATGACCTGCCTGGTTCGGTCGGTGAATCTGTACTGCAAACGAAGAAGCCGTTCTCCTGATAATGGTTAAATCGCGAATAGAGGACTGAAGAACATGGCTGTACTTAGCCTTCGTCAATACTGGCGCCGACGTTTCCGGGATCCAAGGGTTCTCCGCCCCATGAAAATGTTCCCCAGAACGACATTACCTCCTCTGGCATAAGTCCGTGGAATGGAATTCTGTCTAGAGCAGCTAATACTTCGGGATAATCCCATGTTCCGGCTGATACATTGGGCTTCGAGGGCACTCCGCAGCCTTATTAATCAGACCGAGAAGGAATTGGTGAACATAAGCTTGCAGCTGTGTCCAAACATCCTGCGAGGGTGATAATCGAGGTCCAAGTTCTTGGCGCGTTACATTTGCACCTAACGGGGTGCGACTTTCCTTCGTCGTGAGGGCCTGCACGGTGTGAGCTCAGGATCATATTTTCCGACCGCCACGCCGCCTTGTATCTATCGTTGATGCTGATTGACCAAAGCATGATTACTTTGACTCTCTGTGATTGAATTGCTGCTGGGAGGGCCACCAGACCAAGGCCACCCACTCCTCCGCTTCTCGAGGCTTGAAAATCAAGTGGGGGCCATCTTATGGCGACTGAGGTCGTCCTTCATATGCTTCCTCCAGATAAACTGCTTTTGCATGTTGATCAACAAGACCAGGATCTCTGATGTCGGGGAAAGACTTTGGCAGTGAACAGGATTGCTGGTAAGACCACGGTATTATATAGATCCACTCTCTCTTGAACCGTGGTCGCTGCGGCCTCCGCTGTGACCATTCTTCGTTTAATGGCACGGACCCTCTTAGCCCAATTAACTGGGAAAGATATCCAAACCCGATGTCCTGTCCAAGATACTTGATAGTGTGGGCATCTTGCAGTACTGGAAGTCCATGCCACTTCACAGGCGCTACTGCTTTGTTGAGAAAGATGAAACAGCTTTTCATCGGCTGCATTTTCAGACCTGATATCACTCCAAAACCTCTGATGAGTTTCATAGCTCTTGGCAGTTGGCTGCTTTGCTCCAAGAACAAAGTTGAGTCGTCTACAAATGCCGAGAATTTATGTGTGACCGGGGGCTCGGTCTCGGGGATGGATACCCCTCCGAGCTCATGGACCTCCTGCAACGCTAAAGCCAGCACTTCCACCACCAGGATAAATAAAAGAGGCGTGAGTAGACACCCTTGGCGAATGCCAGACTGAACTTCCATTGGCGATGACATCTCACCATTGACTGCAAATTGTGCGGTGGTGCCGCAGTGCAGCCTCTACATCAGATCCACAAATCGTAAGTCAAATCCGAAGTGTCGAAGCACTTCGAACTGATACACCCGGTCAACAGTATCGTATTCCTTCGCGAAATCGAGTAATAAGATCCCTGGGGTATCTCCGGGAAGTCCCTGTTGGTCTCGGTAAACTGTCTCAAGTACTGCTAGCATCATCGCCACAGAACGGTCCATTTGCCGTCCGTGGACAAACCCTTGCTGCGTATCCCCGATGAGCTTCCCCAGGAATGATTGGAGCCGGGTGGCAAGAATCTTCGCAAATATCTTGTAGCTGGACTGGAGAAGTAAGATAGGTCGGTAGTCTAACGCGTTGGAGGAATCTCCTTTTTTTCGCAGCGGTCCTACCACCGCTTTCAGAAAGGATGCCGGTGGTGGGGCCCCTTGTAATAAGCTATTACATGTTTGAGCCAGTTTGGGAGCTATCACGTCTGCATAATCCGCGTAGAAATCATTGTTGAGACCGTCTTCTCCTCCCGCTTTGCGACGACTAAGTCCCCGGACGGCCACCAGTATATCGTCCTCCGTAATAGGGGCTAACAGAGATGTGTTTTCCGCCTTGGATACCCTGCACTCCGTCGGAATCCGCACGTAGTGTGCGACAGCGTCTGCCATCTCCCCCGGTGATAGATTACTATGGCGTTGACCAATGAGAGGGTTCCAAGCTTTGGCGAATCTGCTGGGGATCGAATCGGTGGTTTCAAACCGACAGTCTATAGGCTCGTCAATGCAGGATACTTTCTGATCGCGTTCCCAAACCGCCGTTTTCCTGTATAGCCGGCGGATGTCATCAGAAGTCCGATGCAGCAACCCACCAAATCGGTTGAGGTTTCGTTCTTGAATGTCCTGAATGAAAGCGTTGAGTAACTGGGTCCTGGTCGTCGCGTTCTCATGCAATCGACTCGTCAGTTTCGGCTTATCTCTTGTCTCCGGTGTTTATCCCGTTTGGTAACGCGCATAATGGAATAGTGTATTTGCTCGCCCAGGCGTCCCACCCTTCTTCAGAGTCTGGAGTTGTCGACGGGAGTTCGTGGAGTAGCTCGGAGACTAGACGATCACTGTGACATCCTTCGATCGGATATTGAACAACACGTGAACGTTTGGGTCGGGGACGGCTTCCAGGGTCATGAAGGTGGAGACACACTTCTTCATGGTCCGTTGGCATGGGTGGTAGTTGCACCTGCAACCATTGTACCTAAGTGCTCCGGGTGGAAGCCACGTAGAATCTGTCAATCCGGCTAGCTTGTTTACCTTTCCAGTATGTGAAGTGTATTGTTGGGGCTAGCGCTAGATCAGACAGTGCTGAGCCCATCAACCCTCGGGCGTCATTAAGACCACAAGTACTGGTTAATCGGTGAAGCACTTCACTTTCAGTCCTATCCGGCGTGAGCCTTCCTAGCCGATCCAGCACGGGCACTTCGACACAATTGAAATCTCCGGCCAGTATGAGGCGTTCCTCGTTTGGTAAATTCCACTCTCCCAGGCCGCCAAAAACGCTTCTCATTGGTGCTTCCCGGTTGCAGGTGCGTAGATATTTAACACGTTCACGTCGATTAACCGGATTCTGATCGTCCGAGCCGTCCATAAGTGAAGGTTCCAGACAACCACTTGGGACTGGAATTTCGGAAAGACAAGGCCGTCGACACCTCATTGGTCGGGTTTATCAACACTCCAATACGACATCGGCGATGAAAATGATTGCAGGCCGTGCGCGTTGGGAGATGGAACGCCACGCTGACATCCATTTCCCTAGAACCCCTCTGACATTCTGCGAGATTATTCGCAGGTCAGAGGTATAGGATGTTGGCTGCAGGTCACCTTCCGCATCCGTATGATAAATAGATTCACGTAACATTCGGTACCTTTCGTATGCATCGAAGTCGGACGTGCTCTCGGTACCAGAGCCGTCCGTTTCTGACCTCGCGGAGCCCTTAGTACAGGTATGCAGGAGACTCTGCTGGATCCTCCCCGTCCCCTGTGAAGTTGCCTGCCGCGCCATCCACTTGCACCGCTGTAGCAATGAATTGCGCCATCATTGACCATTGCAGTGACCCAAAGTCCTCCCCGTCGTGTCCCACTTGAGAAAAAATTGCGTCGGTAGTCTGGCAACTTCCAGTATGCTTCCAGGTGTCGTTCGAGTAAGATCAGTATCGAATCACTAGGGTGCGCACATTGCCCTAATAGGGCTGCAATTTTCTCAGCATAGAGGAAGGAGCATAGCAATATTGAGCCGATCTTGCTTGCACGGTTTGGCGAGCAAAGGTGCATGACTACGTCATGACCATACTGTTCTTTTCGGAGGGCCCCCACTCCTGCGAACTGTTTAACAAGGCAAGTTGTCTCTCACCCGCAGGAACACTATCTACCCGCCGTTCCCAGTCACTTCAGCGTTGACTACGGGCTGGGTGGTCGACGTCGTTTTTCCCGGTTTCTATCGCCAAACGCAAACATTGGAATCACCATAGTGCCGTCAGTTCAATTTCTGCCTTCGGTTCCATCCCTATGATGATAAGATGGTGGTAAAACTCCGAAGTAGATGACGAAGTCGGCTCGGTTCTCTAGCCACCGATTTCTTCCAGACGTCCAGCGGCGCCGCGACGGAGGGAAAGGCAATTACCGTTGGTTTAGTCCATAATGACTCCATCGAATTCCAGATCTCATCCCAACTGGGTGCATCTTCCGAAGACGTTGGCATCCCGGGCATAGCTGCCGCATCAAATTTGGCAGCCAGGTCCTGCGTTGGGTCACCAGTGCTGCTTAGACTGTCGTGTTCCTCCGAATCCCGAAGGATGTTGTGCTCACCTACTTGGAACGCCTTAGTTGGACCTCTGGGTGCTGCCAGCAACCGCTGAGGTTTCCGTGGAGGGCTGACTATAGAGGAATCGTCCGTCGAAGCTAAGGGAATGTACTCAGAACCGGACGATACCTGCTCTGATGCTGGGGATTCCTCATCTTCTACATCACTTCGTTGATCTAGGAGATTGTTCTGAATGGAGTTTTGCCATTGGCTGACTACCGGTTCGGGGATTTGGTACTTGGCCATTAACGCTTCCCGTTGCTCCGAGATTGCGAGATCAGCAGCCATCAACTGATTTTGTTCATACCGTGATAGGCGGGAAACAGTTTCCACTAGGAAGTGCAATAGCTCTCCTGTACGTGCATTGACTACTTGCAGAATGTAAATGATTTCTCGCTTTAATTCATGGTGAATTGCTGGTCCCTCTAAGCGTTGGAGAATGTCATCCAAGTCTCCCGTCCACTGATCTGGGTCCCAGGCAGTTTGAGAACCATACTGGTCAGCCGCGCTGGCAAGGTCCGTCTCCTGCTCTTGGTTTTGGCCCGACTGCGTTGACTGACTCTCAGTAGTTGGTGCTCTCTTCCACGCCTTGAGGGGGAAGTTATGTCAACATCATCATTTAGTTCCTGTGCTTCCATTTGCCCCAAATGAGGCGAGTCCGTAGCCCTCGCTGGAGGTTTCCCGTCACTAAAAGCATCTTCGTTACTGTTGTACATGGCGTCATTGGATTCAGGGTTGTCATCCGTCGTATCTTCCGCCTGCGTCTGGTGATCAAGCACGTAAGCATTGTAATGTGCCTCCTCTAAATGCAGTACCCGTGGCATGGTTTTGCCCTCCTCCTCAGCTATTTGTCTTGATAGTAAGACTTCTTCAACGCACTTGGTCTAACCGAGCACAAATTTCCCATACGTGGCATAATTCTTCCTGCCTTAACGTCTCGTTTCCGGTTTGAATTGTTGCATGGTAATGTAGTCCGTGTTTTTGCTGCGGCATATGACAAACAGATCCATCTGCAACTTGATGCCGTAAGTGGCCAGCGTGTCATTGCTTCCCCAATACCTTGCCGTCAGGAACGACCCCACCTCAGAAGGACTAGCTCCGTATTCGTGAAGGTACTTCCGAAATTCCGCTTCCGACACTGTCGCCGACATCTTCTCATAGCCTCTCCCCAGCTGAGCTAGGGTCGATTTCCGGAACCAGTGTGGAAATTTGACCGCAAAGTCTAATTGGGCATGGGCAAGACATCCCAGTTTAGCAGATTTCGTTGCCTTGGCTAAGGCTGAGGATTGACCATCGAAGTCATCATTAGCTAATGCCTGGACAATGACATAGGCTTGACAATTCCCTGTTGCAGGGGTTACGACTTTTTGTAGGCCCAAAATCTCTACTGCGCGTTAAACTGTAAGATCCTCTGTGGTGGCTGGCATTTTATCTAGAGCTGGTTTGACGAGTTGGTCCCTGCGCTCGTCCACTAGAGCCAGATCGGCCTCCAGAGATGCTTTAGTAGCAACTTCCTGCACTAGCAGGTGCTCCGCGCCGGTGACTGTGCGTTTGGGTTTTGATATATTTGCTGTCGGGGCTGATGTGCGTCGGACCGGCTCTTCCATTGATCTTGTGTCATTGACAGCCGGACTGGGTTTGGGTACTCCTGTTTTAAAACTGACTGCGTCCCGTTCGCCAGTTCCACCAGCTGAAGCTGCGGTGTTTATCAAACTCGAAGTGCTGACGTGACTTTTGCTCCCTCCTTTACGTTTGTGGTAGTTTTGCCAACAAACCAGTCTTCGGAGTGGCGTGGGACTCGAGGGTGGGGCACCTGCTCCAGACTTTGGGGAGTGAAGTGATCTTCAGTAGCGAGGTTGTACGGATAATTTACACCGGTGGATTCCGCTGCCTTGTTCACCGACTTGCCTTGATGGATTCCTGCATGTCTTCCAGACTGGTGAACGTGCGTGACTGGACTGGTAGTCCCTTGGTGTTCTGCAAAGTAGCGACTAAGCTCCCTGTACCATTCAAGGCTTCACTGACTGTAAGTTGGCCCAATATCTTGTTCAAGATGTTCTCTAGCGACTGCTGCGAGTAGAAGACCCTCTGGTACACTTGCACTACCTTGTCCTTCCAAACTGTCCAGGGAAGGTCCTTGCGGACCACTAGCATTTCAAACAGGTCAAGCAGCCGGTCTTGTTCTACCGGTTTGTGCTTTGGCAGCCACTTCGCCATCGGAGATAAGAGAGCCTGTCGACGAGTACTCGGGACGAATATATCCTCAAAACGTTGTTGGGCTAAGTCCAGCCGAGCCTGTACTCGCGACTGGGTGTGACTGGCTTGTTGTATCGGCGATTGCAGTGCGTCCGCAAGCTCTTGCACCGAAGGGATCACTGGCTTCTCATACTGACTCGGGGACGTCCGAGATTTGAATGGTGGGTCTTTCACTTGCTCCTCCTCTGCAGGCTTCAGGCCTAGGCTTTCCGTGGAGGGATTCTTCTCCTCTGCCATGGCCTCGTCCTCGTTCTCTTGAGTTTCCGGAACGATTTCGTCCATATCCAGGGCATGGAGCTTGCCTGGTCCCGTCCTGTTGCCTATCGCGCTCATCGGGGACGCTACTGTCGTCCACCCTCTCCCGGGTTCTTTCCCGGGTGGTGTTTCCGCCGGTCCCCGGAGGATCCGTTCCCCCGTACCAGGGTCCGGTGGAAGCATGGTGTAAATTACTTGGCCGTTGTATGCCTAATTTGGCGTGGCACTATGTACACTCCGTATCCCAATACAGCTCGTGCTGGCTGCTGGGGCTCGTGTCGCAAAATCGGGAGTACGATCTCCCAGT